CTAGCACAGTTTACAAGGAGCTCTCAGAAAAATCAGGAGAATGCCAGGTTTCTGGTCCTAAGGCTGCTTCTAGGCTATATTGCTCGCCACAATAACAAAATAACTTCGTGCTGATTGTCAAATAGCATAGTGAAGCAGTTATTGTTTCATTTGTTTTGTAGAGTAGGAGATAAGCTGAACTGCTCTGCTCAAAGTCTAAAACTTAGTAAAAGATGGCCACCTTGCCCCACCCCACTCCAGTGATGACCTCGCCTGCGAGTTGCATCATCATACAAAGATGGGACCACCTATGGTGGATATTCATCTGATGTTTTAGCTGCACCAATATCCTCCCTTTGGAGAATCACTTCCCCCCAGTCGAAAGAACCATGATACTGTACGGGCTGCCAGTGACAGCATCCCATCACCCTACTCTATTCATTGTGTCAGCTGCTGAGCCAGTCTTAGTCCCCTAGACCTGGCCACAGTGACTGGGCCTGACATGGACAGAGACCCTAGTCCGGCCACGCAGAACCCTTCCATAAGATGTTCTGCCTGGGCTGATTAGATTGAGCTCCCTTTAGTCTCTGGCCAGGGGCCATGAAGATGACCTTGGGGTCCTGAGACCATGCTCCAGGCCCACAGGAAAAGCATCACATTCGGGAATCAATCACCCCAAGGCTGGTTTCTCCCATCCATCCCAAGCTCTTGGAATACTATACAATAAATTTCTCTTTTCTGCTTACTTTAAAGTTCCTCTACCACTTCCTCTCAAATAACACAGTTAAAAGAACCAAAAGAAAATCTACAATGGTTGGAACTTTTACTTATGTCTCCGTCCCTGCTGACCCTCCAGGCTGGAGTAGATGAAGACAATGTAGCTGGTACCTGAAGAGAGCAGATAGAGAACAAAAGGCCCAGGAAATCTCTAATGAATAATAAACAATCCACACCTGACAAGTGGCAGTCACCAGCTCTCATCCTGCTGGAAAAGCCTGGCAAGTTAGTCCTTTAAAAAAAAAAAAATTCCTCCAGCTTTAACTTCTGACAAGTGCACAGTGTCTAAATTCGTAGTGCCATCCAAACCCTTCACTCAGCCTAGCCATCGCGGTCCCTCCGGATCACCTTTGCACCCCTATCCACCCAGAGCCTAGGCCGCCCTCTGCTCAGGCTGGTCTCATTTCCACAATCTGAACCAGCACGTCCTCCTCCTTTGCCTCTGCACGTCCACACGGCCTCTCTGACACCCAGCTTGAGCCCCAGTCCCTCCTCGAAGGCCTTCGTCCAGCAGCCACCGCTGTCTCCAGTCTCTTGCCTCTGGGGAAGCCACGTCAGCAGCTCGCTAGGATGCTGCAGAGAAGGCACATAGAGGGGATGAGAAGGAAACTTGCATCTCTGAGCACACAGGAGCAGCTACCAAGTTCTGCCACTTCTGTCCCATAAGAGACGCCTGGGGTGACGTGGTTTGAGAAGACCTTCACGTTTGGGTGGTACTTAGAGCCACTAGAGGTAGATGAGAGTATTCAGGGAAAGTATGTGCTAATCAGTGTTTTAAAAGGAAGAAAAAGCCTACCTGTGTCTACATCACTCAACTGATCTATCGCATAATGTCACTCTCCTGAGTGACCCATTCCCCCAACTAGGTGGCAAGCTGCAGGCTGGAATTACATCCTACCCACCCCTGTCTCCATCTGCAGTGCAGCCCCACCTGGGGAGAGCACAGGACCAGGCACTTCCATCCTCCCCAATTACATTCCTCCCTCCCAGTGGCTGAGACAGGCAGCCTAGCACCCGTAGCCCCATCTCACAGATGAAGACATTGAGGCTTCCGGCCAGGAAAGGACCCTCACTCCAGGGACAGGCAGTCAAAGGTCTTCAAGCGAGAAAACCGAGGTGTCAGTAACTGAAGCAAAGAGAAACGAATGACAAAGGACCGAGCAGGTTCTGAATGACCAAACAAGATCCTGGTACACCTGCAGAAAAAACATGAGACACCTGAGCCATTCCAAGAACAAGAGTCCTCCCTCTTACTACCACTGCCAGCAGGGGCGAAGGTGATCACCTCTTCCTCACAGATCCATGTATTGGGACAGGAAAGGCTTCATAATTCCAGAGTTTCCGAATGTAGGAGATGGCCTGAAATTGTACTGAGGGGGCCTAATCAGGTGACAGGAAAAACACCCCAACACGGAAGCAGGAGCACTGAGCTTAGTCTCGACTCAGCCTCCTTTCTGCCCCTTTCTGCAACTTCTGGCCTGTCCTCAAACCATAGAGATGTGAGTGCGGAACCCAGTGCAATGCAAATAAGGCACCACCACCCCCATCTTCCTGGGGTTGCTACAGAATTAAGTGAGACATGGAAGTATGCAGTGAGATTCGAAATGCTGAGCAGCAAGGTACCATCAACCCTGGAATAGGAATGTCCCTGCCCCCGAAATAAAACAACATGGTATGCTTGTTAGTCATCTTCATACCCCAGGCCTGAGCACGGTGGGTTATAAATGTCTGGGGCTCTGAGCATGAGCCCGTGGTTGGCTCACCTACCCAGGACCTCCCAGGCTAGTTTCGCCCTGGGCTCCAGGCCCTTGTGGGGAGCTACCAGCCATCATTTGCCTTCAGTGGGCCAAAATCCCAGTGCACAGGTGCCAGCCAGGGAATGGGCATTCTGGACCAGGGGCCCACAGAGGGTGCAGAAACCACCAGGAAAGTCCCTAACTGGATGATGGCAGCACCTGCAAAGTAGACATGACAAACTGGCTGCCCCTTGATGCTGTGGATCCTTGGAAGGCAGCTGTTTTGTCTCTCGGGCTCTCGCAAGGGCCTTGCACAGAGGCCGACTACAGGCAGAGCCATGGACCTGCGTGCCTACGGAAAGGTGCCTCCAGCCCTGTACTGAGCTTTGCCCCAGAAGAAGAGCTCGCTGGCTAAGAGAGAAAAAAAAAAAAAGTTGGAAAACCAGTGCACAATAACTCATCCTTTACAAAGGTCCCAACGCTACTGTTTATTTGCACACCACATCACCCCTTCCCAGAAGCTCTACTTTGCCATACCAAATGCTGCCCTAATTTTTCTCTAAAGCGTTAACTAAAATGAACATAACTTTCCCCCCGACAACTATTTTCCTGAGGCTTGCATGACCCTCTGGAAAGCCACAGAATTCTGCTCTGTGGTAAAACTAGGGTCTTCAATCACTGCCCTCAGGAGGAAAACCCAAACCATATTCCATCCCTTCCTCAGAGGTCAGGACCAGCTCCTACAACCTCAGCCCAAGCGAGGCCCCACCTCCTCTGCCAGGCACAGAGCAGGGGGAACTAACTAGTGGCAATCCGTCCAACTATTCCAGAGATTAAAGCTAGCACTGATTCAAACACATCCCAGGGAGGACGTGGGTCTGCACTCTAACTTATGCACTTCCTTGACAAACTTTCTCCTTCAAAAATAGAAAGATGAAAGCAATTAAGGAGAAAAACAATTACCCCAGTGAGAGTTCCCTGTCTCTTTATCCTCATGGACACATGGGACAGCCCTCCTCAGCATCCTCCAAACCACCGTCCCAGGAGACTGGGTTGGCCCAGCGACTCAAATACGACCAAAACTGGGGGGACAGAACGCAGGCTTGAGGGATATAAATGCTAGAGTCAGAAATCCCAAAGTGGAGACAGAGGACCACCGATGAAATGATGTACACTGTGTGAGCAGCAGCTTATTCCTTGTATATCAGTTTCCTCCACTACAAGATGTGAGGTTGAGATGGCCAATATACACTGCAGCTCTAACCAGGAACAGCTTATAAAATCACCCCCTTAATACGTGAGGCTTTTAACAGCCAAATAAATGGGTTTCATCAGCCTCTAGCCTACAGTTACTCAGGGCTGCTTTGTCAGCCCTCTCCGTTCACTCTTAAAACAAGGACAAGACATAGAAAAGGTGACATTTGCCACTTTCGGGCTCTGAACGTGTTAAACAAAACAACAGGTCATAATTGAAAACTCCTGGTGCCTAATACTGTGAGCATTTTAACCACTCCAAGCCAGAGTTTTCTCTCTGGCAAAGTAATAATAAGTAGACAGCTCACAGAATGGTAACAATAAATGTAATAAGGTAGAGTGCCTGCCACAACAGTAGGTGCCTAATAAATGCAGGTTCTCTTCCTTCCTCAGTGCTGTGCCTTTTTCCTCGAGCTTCTGTCTAAAAGGCTGGCTTTCCACATTCCCCAACCAGGCCAGGCCTATCATTTATCACAAACACCCAGCAGTACCCCCTCTCCCCACCCCACCCCCCCCCCACACACAGGAATACTCACAAATCCATCACCCAAGGGCACCAGCCACCAGCCTTCCCTCCTCAGGCGGCTCAGCACGGCCAGGGAGGGATCTGAGCCCCAGCAGCCACTACTAGGATTTTCCCATGGTGCAATGCAACTTCCCCAACTTTTCCAGGCCCACAGTTTCCAAAGAAACCTAGCAGGCATTGTGCATAATCAAGCACAAGTCTGGGCGAGCAAACGGACTGAGCTCTGGGCAAAGGGAGCAGAGAGAGCCAGAAAGTGAAACGGCACCAGTTATCATCAAACGGGGTGGCAGGGACCAGAATTCAGGAGGACCAGTCCTGGCCCAATTTCCATTCTTCTAGACCGTATCACCGATTAAAAGCTAGCAGAGACTCCAAAACGACTGGTGGATGATGAAGAGCCTTAGGAGAGACTGCCGGACATCCCTCCGAGGTCGCCCCGCGGCTGGACCTGCTGGTCTCAGGAGCACCCCGATGCCGTGGCACCCGGAGAGTCAAGGCCCACAGTGCCGGGCATTGTTCACAGCGACAGGCGGGGACTGAGGGAGGAGGTGCGAAGTAGAGGACCACGCAGGGCCCCCTCCCCAGACCCGCTAAGGGAGGGAAGGCTCCACCCGCGCGGCCGGCGCCAGGTGGATGAGTGGCCCTCGCGAGTTCCCCCGACTCAGAGCTGCAAAGAGAGATGGTGGAAAGCGGTCCGAGAGGCCGGGCCGCGGGGGTCTGCCACTCACCGGCGCCCTCGGAGGGCTGTGGCGGCCCGACGACGCCGTTCAGGTAGAGAATGGGCAGCAGGTGAGGCTGCGTCTTCTCCAGCGCCGCCCGCAGGTCCTGGAAGTGGTCCCGCTCCTTGGCCAGCAGCAGCTTGAGCAGCAGCTCCGCCTTGGCGCCTCCCGCCTCCTCGTCCAGCTGCCGCCGCTCGCCGGGGCTCAGCGCTCCCGCGGCCTCGAGCAGCCCGAGCACGGCCTCCACCTCGGTCATGGCCTGGGCCAGGCTCTGCTGACACTGGGCGAGCAGCTCCCGGCGCTGGGGCTCCATTCACCCGCGCCGCCCCGCCCCGCCCGCCCGCCGGCCTCGGGGAGCCGGAGCCGTCCGCGGGGCGGGGCGGGGC